CACTTTGGGTCCCTAACCAGTATGGTCCCACCTGCAGGTGCCCGACAGAATGATGCTGGTGAAAGCCGAGCTGGATCTCATCACCGACATGCTGGAGCTCCTCGACGACCACAGCTTCACCGAGACCCACCAGAGGCCCCTGGCCTTGCTCACCCAAGCCCAGGAGGACCTGCGAGTCTGTGTGAGTGGCCACCCCCCCACCTCCCGAGCCTCCCCGGCCCCGTGCCGGCTCAGCAACCCTGGTGCTGGCAACTGGGGCTAGTCCTTACGCAGCCACTTTCCTTGCAGATGGCCACGGAGGCTCCTTCGCATCAGCCCTCCAAGAAGCTGAGACACTGGCTGCAGAAGCTGCAGATAGCCAAGAAAACGGTAAGTCAGGCCATCAGGGAAGAGGGGGTCTGGGGGTGTTAGTGACCCCAAAGCTGCAGGGGACCTGCTGCACCCCGTTTCTGGTGCTAACCCGCCTTTTCTCCCTGCCACAGGAGACCACGAGCTGCCTGACGTCCTCTGCCATCTTCCACCTCTTCCAAGTGTTGGATGACCTGCGGTGCGCAGCCGGACAGGAGCCATGCGCTTAGTCCCCGCCGGCAGCGTGGCTGGCATGGCACGACACGGCACGGCACGACATGACACGGCATGGCATGGCATGGCATGGCACGGCACGACACGGCACGACACGACACGGCACGACATGACACGGCACGGCATGGCATGGCATGGCACAGCATGGCACGACATGGCATGGCACGACACGGCACAGCACGGCATGACACGGCATGACATGGCACACCATGGCACACCATGGCACTTGCCAGCCCCTAAGGATGCCCCGAGGACTGGGAAAACTGATTTTTTTTATTGCATCGCTGGACTGTATTTCCTATTTAAGCATTTTGTTCTTATTTATGTGAACTCAGGGAGTATTTATTTTTATTTTTTCAGTGTTTTATAAATTATTGGGGTTTATTATGTATTTATAAACGGCTTGGGAGGGTGTAAAGAAATGCCATTCCTGAAAGATGCTGTATGAATGTATTTATTGGATATTTATTTTGCTGGGGTTCAAAACACTGACTGTTTTTAAGGAAATCTATTTTTTTACCTGTTATTTATTACAGACTATATGATGTATATTTGTCTGGATAAATTATTTTTTGCAAGCTATTTAATATGAAAAATAAAATCGATACCATAAACACACAAGCTGCCATCCTGTTTTTATTACGTCGTCTTATAGCGTCATCCCTTCAGGGAAGCGAGTTATGGGGAGGGGGGGAGGGAGGACATCGAGGTCAATTTTGAGCATTTGAAAATTGGCAAACCTTTGGCACTCGTCTTCATCTCCAGCTGTCTGGGGGTGTACCCAGGGGTACACCCGGGGGTTGCCCTCCGGTACAGATGGATGCTGTTGTGGCTGGGGCTGTCCCTGCCTGCTTGGGGACAGGAGTCTGCTGGTCACCTGTTTGCTGGAGCATCTCTCTTACGAGGAGAGGCTGAGGGACTTGGGTCTTTTTAGTCTGGAGAAGAGAAGGCTGAGGGGGGATCTGATCAATGCTGATAAATACTTCAAGGGAGGGTGGCAAGAAGATGGGGATGGTCTTTTTTCAGTGGTGCCCAGGGACAGGACAAGAGGAAATGGGCACAAACTTGAATAGAAGAAGTTCCTCCTCATGTTCCACCTAAACGTGAGGAGGAACTTCTTGACTTTGAGGGTGGCAGAGCCCTGGAAGAGGCTGCCCAGGGAGGTGGTGGAGTCTCCTTCTCTGGAGACATTCAAACCCCACCTGGACACGTTCCTGTGGACCCTGCTCTGGGTGGCCCTGCTTTGGCAGGGGGTTGGACTAGATGATCTCCAGAGGTCTTTTCCAACCCCATGTGATTCTGTGATTCTAGGAAAGAAGCCGATGTTGGGTGGTGCTCACCAGGGCACAAAACCTGGAGCCCTTCCAACCCCATATGACTCTGTGATTCTAGGACAGAAGCTGATGTTGGGTGGTGCTCACCAAGGCACGAAACCTGGAGGAGCCCACAGCCTAACGTGATGCTCACATCCTGGTATAGGCTGGGCAAGCCTCCAGGTTTGGCCATCCTGGGAGCTCTCAGAAGATCCCTGAATGATTTAACCACCAAACTGCAGGCCAGGATGAGTGAGGAGACAGGAAAGGCAGGCACCCAGCAGGGAGAGGAGGAAAAGGACCCATAAGTAGACTTAACCCTCAATCAATCTCTATTTTCTCAAGTTGGGGAGATGGTTTTTTGGAGACAGGTCACCAGAAGAGAGCACCCAGCTGTGGTGGCTGCATGTACCTGTGATGGCCACACCTGGGGTGAAAAATCACCTGTACCTGGGGACTAACCAAGGCCTGGGGACTCAAAAGGAGCAGGTTTTGGTGGCAGGAAGGAGAGGAGAGTAGGGGAGCTGTTGGGTGCTTGAGGCTGAGGTAATTTTACAGTTGCTGCTTTTAGGTTGAGGGTTGGGGACTAAGCTGCCAGCAGACACAGCATCCCACAAAGAGACAGCTGGGGACATGAGCCATGACACTTGTAATGAAACGTGTCCCATGTTCCACCCACTGCAAATGAAGGCTGGGGACACTATTTTGTTCCACTGCCAGGTGGTCCAGGCTTCAGCAACTGGGCAGCCAGGCTCTTTGGGGCACTGGGAGCAGGGCTGATGGGGACAGGGATGGAGCTGTAAGTGCCACAGCTGGTCAGTGTCAGCCTAATGCCCCTACCAGCTTTTTGTAGCTCAGAACAAGCCCCTCTAAATCTCCTGGAGATTGCTTGCAGGTGGGCAAAAAGTGCTTTAGCTTTACCCCCAGGCTCAGACGAGGGGTGTGGGGAGGGTGAGAGTTCAGAGCCTTTCTGAACATCACCCAGGACTTGGTTGAAGAGCACAAAACACCTTGTGGTAGCAGTGGTTGTGGCTCCCTTCTAGTCTTGGATGAACAGAAGGTGTCAAAATCTTCTTTGTGTTAAACTGCCCTTTGTTGCCTCCAGCCTGGGCACCTCTGCTGGCTTAGGAGACCTGGAATCCTGCAGAAAGTAAATAAAATAGGATAAGGTCCTTTGGGATTTGGCAGATGTTGGGCTAAGGTAAGGCAGGAACGAGCTACCTTATTGATGCTCCTTTCTGCTGAGGCTTTTGTGCCACTTTCAACATCACCTAAATATCCTAGTCCTCGATGAGTGATCACAAAATCACAGAATCACAGAATCTTCTAGGTTGGAAGGGACCTAAAGATCATCTTGTCCAACCATCAACCTAACTAACAAAAATAGACACCCGCACAACAAACAAGGAGCATCATCACTAAACCATGATGTGGCTAAGATGCCCTGGTGAGATCTGTTTTGTTTTCTCCCTCAAAGAACTGTTTATGCAGTGGAGTTTTATTCTGGTAGCATCGTTTTTATTTCATGTACATACACAGTTTTGTGCTTTTATTGAATAAGTAGAATAAAATTCTGCCAAATTCCAGAAAAGGCACTGGAGTTTGGGAGTTTTTCAGTTCAGCCTTCTTTACACCAGTCCCAAAAAAACCCCGACAGCCAAGTTTTACTGATGGATCATGTTATACACTCCTGGGTCATAAACTCCTGCTCCAAATACTCTGACCAGAATCCAGGTTGATAATATGCAAGGAATAAGCGTGCTCTCATCTGTAAGAAGAATTTTTTGGGGATGCTTGGTGCTCTGAGGAATAGGAAAACAAGTCGCTGCTGAAGTTATGGGAGTGTAGTGTTTTCTAATACACCAGATAACTGGTGCTCTTGATGTTTTAATTTCTGCCTCAGTTCAGAGCTGTTTGTAATTCAAAATGATAATTCCTGTCTCTCAGCAATCGTACTGGGAATCATTTTGTGATGTGCCCGTGTTGCCATCCAGGAAGAGAGTGTTCAGTGAGATCTGCCCGCTTTTGATTTGCGCTGACAAAGAGGTTATTTGAAAAATAACCTTCACTTTGAACTGCAGATGACTTCAGCTGCGCATGTATGAGTGGCTGATGGGTTACTCATTTTAATGTTGAAGGCTCCTGGGACTCCATACTGCTGCCTGAATTAGTAATGGCTTGCTTCCTCTGCTCTCAAGAAGTCTCATTTTCACCTCTGTAGCCATGATTGAACCATTTCCTCTCTATCAGGAGAATTTCCCCCAGCAACCCACGTCCCCTGACTCTCCCTTTGCACTCCTGCTCTGATCGAAGCGCTTGTGGCCAGGGCCAGGACAGGTTTCTGTCCCAAGGAAGATGCCTTTGTCCCAGGGTATTCTTCACTTCCTTTTTTATTATAGAAATCTGTTTTGAATTCTGTGTTCTCCTCAGAAAACTGCTGGGAGGGGGTGGCCTCTGTGTCTAGTTGCTTCAGATAAAAGCCCGAAACCTTTGGGCCCAGCACCGACAGACTTGACAGATAAATGTAATAGCCTTTGGGAAGGGAAAAACTGTAGATCTGCAAAACAGAAGGCTGAGATTTATGCTAAACCTGCCAGAAATGGGAGAAGTTGTATCAGGAAAATGTAGTAATTGAAATACCTTTGGTGCAGACATTTAAAGGCTCAGGTTTGAAGAAGCAGCCTCTTGTGAGCCATGAGAATAATAAGGGAATTCCAGCTGGTTTATGGGAAAGCTCCAAAAAAGGCATTGGCCTTCACAGGTCCAAGACAATGGTCGCATGCCTAAATGCTGGATTGAAAAAAGTTGAAGGAGAAAAGTTCATATATACTTCATAAATATTTCTCCAGGTCATTCCTGGTTCCTAGCTGACCCCACGGTCTCTTATCTGGGAGGATGTGTCTGGGTGGGTTGGTTGGTGGAGGACCGTGATTGTGCTTTCTTGATGCCGCCTCAATTGCCATTTCCACAAGGAATTTTACGTAGCAAAAGAGAAATCCACAACCCAGCTCTCAGTCCCTGTGGTGTCCGTTGCTCCTTAGATTTCTAAAGGCCGTTTCTCTCCCTAAAAGCTGACAAGCTGGGGGCTTCCCAGACCATGGTCTGTTGTGGTGTGGTTCTGCAGGTGCAAGAAAGAGTCAGGGTTAATCCCCAACCCCCTGTTTGGGCACCAGTGTAGATGGGGGTCATTAGGATGTTTGTGGGTAATAACGGATTACGGGATGGACTGAAAACCATAAGATTTGCTTCAAAACGGAGCAGGTACCCAGGCTCTGGCAGTGCCTGCTAAAACCAAACCAGAATCTTTTTTTAAAGGAGGAAAAAAATGGTTCTGGGTTAATTGTCACGTGGACCAATAGCTGAAAATATAATACTGTGTCATAGTGCCCTGCTGGCTCCTCCATAGTTTAACCCCAGCTCCAAAGTCCAGGTCGTCACTGGCAGCTGTGACCACCATGGACATAAGGTCTTGCAGGCAGGAGATGGAAAGAGAAGCTTACTCTGCTCAAGAAAGAAATGTCAAGATTAGGACTGTCTAGGCATGAAACCCAAACCTTCAAAAAACAAACAAAATCAGCGTGGGGCTTTTGTTTTGACTTTTTTTTTTTTTTT